TCCAATAGCTCCATCATCTCAGATAAGTGATACCTCTTACCTCCATCACTCCCAATATCCCTCCAACAGCTCCATTGCTCCTTATCTCCGTCACCTCCAGTATCACCCCCCTGGTTCCATCACCCCCACTATCATCTCCAACACCTTCACCACCCCAAATCAGTGATACCCCGTATTTCCATCACACCAATCTCCCTCCCAACCACTCCATCACCCTCCAACTGCTCCATCACCCCCACTATCCCCCTCCCACAGCTCCAGCACCTCAGACAGGTGACACCCTGTATCTCCATCACCCCCAGCATCCACCTCCATGGCTCCATCATCCTCAATCACCTCCTAAGAGCTCCATCACCCTTGATCAGTGATCCCCCACATCTCCATTCCCCCAACCTCCCTCCAACAGCTGCATCCCCCCCCGCCCCCCCCTCCATTAGTCCCAGTATCCCCCCTCCAAGAGCTCCATCACCCTCCATATACCTCCCCATGGCTCCACAACCCCCAGTATCTCCCCCAACAGCTCCATTCCCCCAATCAACCCCCAAGGCTCCCCCCCATCACACCTTGAGGTGCTTCTGGAGCTGGACCTGGTGCTGGCGCGTGAGGTGCTCGTGCTGCTTCTGGAACTCGGCGAAGAGCAGCTGCTTCTGGAGCTGCTGCTGCTGCTTCAGGGCCACCAGCTCCCGCTGCAGCTGCCGCTCCCGTGCTGCCGCCAGTCCCGCGTCCAACCCTGCAGCCTCTGGCCCCGCTGCCTCCAGCCCCGGCCCCTCCAGCCCCGGCCCCTCTGGCCCTGCGGGCCCACACCGGGTTACCGGGGGGGGGGGGGGGGGGGGGGGATGGGGGTGGCTTGAGGAAGGGGTTCCAGGGGTATGGTGGGGGTAGGGACTTGTTTAAGGGGCGGTATTAGGGTGTCCCAGGGATGTGGGGGAGACACAAGAGTGGTTTGGGGGTGTCCCAGGAATGATAGGTGGGCTGGGACTTTGTTAAAGGGCAGTTTTGGGGTGTCCCAGGGATGGGGGAGGGGAATTAGGGGCAGTTTGGGAGCATCAGTGTGAGTGGAAAAAGCTGGGGGCATTTTGGGGATGTCCTAAGGATGGGGGGGGAGCTGGGATCAGTTTTGGAGTGCGCCAGGGATGGAGAGAGGAAATGGGAGTGGCTTTGGGGTGTCCCGGGTATGATGGGAGGGGGGCGTTGGGGGTGTACCGGGAATGATGGGAGTGATAAGACTTGTTTAAGGGGCAGTTTTGGGGTGCCCCAGTGGTGGAGAGGGAACTGAGAGTGGTTTGGAAGTGTCCCAGTGATGATGGGGGGCAGCTGGAACTTCAAGGGATAATATAGGGGTGTTCCAGGGATGGGGGTGTCAACTCAGTGCAGTTTTGGAGTGTCCCAGTGGTGGAGAGGGTAGCTGGGAGCAGTTTGGGGGTGTCCTGGGGATGAGGGGAGGTGTTAGGGGCAGTTTGGGGGTGTACCAAGGATGGGGGAAGAGGCTGGGCATTCCCAGAGATGGGGGGACGGGAGGGGACAGCTCAGGGGCACCTGGGGGGTTGCCGCGGGGGGTCAGTGATCAGCCCCTCCTATGAAGTTCCTGGGGGTCTCCCCCCAGCTTCCAACCCACTGGATAAGCCCGGGATTCCCCCCTTCTCAACCCAGAAAAAACCACATGGAGGTCCCCCCAGTCCAAGCTCCTGCATTTGCAACACAGAACAACCAACCCAAAGGGCAACCGAGGGGCATCCCCCCCTCACCTCCATCAGCAGAGGACATGGGGAGGGGACACAGCGTCCGGGCCACCCCCACCTCGAGCCCTCCCCCTCCCCACGCAAACAGGAAGGCGGGGGCGGGGGGCACGCGCTGAATGTTAATGCAGCCCCTCCCTCCCCTCCCCGCAGCCCCCTCAACCTGGCGCGGCCGCACGTCGGGCACTGACGTGCGCCTGGACGGACCCATGGACGTCACCGTGCGCGGGGGTGGGGCACCCCCAGACCCCCCCCCCCGCTCTGACAGACCCCTCCGGGGCATGCCAGCCTCCCCCGAGGACAGCCAGCCCCCCAAAACCTGCCAGTGCACAGTACCCTGCTGCACCCCCCCATTGCCAACCAGGTCCCCTGATAGACAGTATCCCTCCCAAGCTAACCAGCCCCCCAGCTAGGCAGTACCCCCCCTTCCCCAAGCTAACCAGCCCCCCAAGCCAGGTAGCTTGTCCCCTTCAAACTAACCAGCCCCGCCAGTGCCAACCATTCCCCCCACAAACCAACCAGCCCCACCTCCCCAGTGCCAATCACCCCTTACCAGTACGAGCCAGCCTCCCAAACCAGGCAGCACGCCCCCCCAAACTAACTAGCCCCCCATGTACCAGACAATCCCCCCAGTGCCAACCAAACCCCCGCTGGTATGAGGCAACCCCTAAGACAGGCAGCACCCCCCCAAAATGACCAGTCCCTTCAGTGCCAACCAGCCCCCCAACACACGAAGCAGCACCCCCAGTTTCAACTGGCCCTCCCTCCCCAGCACTAACCAGTCTCCCCCAGTATGAGTCAGCCTCCCAAGCCAAGCAGCATCCCCCAAGATAACCAGTCCCTCCCAGTGCCAACCAGTCCCCCACTTTACCAACCAGCCCCCCCGAGCCCCCATCTCAACCAGTCCCCCCAGTATGAGCCAGACCCCCAAGTCAGGCAGTATTCCCCCAAGCTAACCAGTAACCCCAGTGCCAACCAGCCCCCCCCAGTATCAACCAGCCTCAGCTCCTCACTAACCAACCAGTCCCCCCAGTACGAGCCAGTCTCCCAAGCCAGGCAGCAACCCCCCAACCTAACCAGCACCCCCAGACACCAACCAGCCGCCCCCAGTCAGTGCCAGCCCCCCCTTGACATGCAAGAGGGGAACCCCCAGCCCCCCCTCCCCACCCCAAGTCACATCTCGGGGGGAAGATATTTTTGGGGATGTATTGGGGTACTCCTGCAGCCCCCCAGACCTGACACATCCCAGTTTGGGGGGTAATCAAAGGCCCCCGCTGGGTGTTGGGGTGCAATAGGGGGGGTGGGGGTCAGCACCCAGCCCTTTCAGGGGAGAGGGGGTAGCACCCGAGGGGGCTAAAAATAGCCCCCAGAGGAGCCAACCTGACACTCTGGGGTCAGTGGTGGCTCTGGGCTGGCACCGGGCTGGGGTCACCACCCCACCCTGTGAGGGGACCCTCACCCTGTGCCCCCCCCCCCCCCCCCCGACCGGGGCTGCTTGCACAGCTGTACACACGTGTAGCTATCCCCCGACACACCTGTGCACACCTTTACACACTCATGCAAAAAGAGCAGCTCTCCTCCTTGCACACCTACACAAGGGGAGCAGCTGTCCTCCCCCTTGCACATCTGAACACTCTCATGCAAAGGAAAGCAGCTCTACCCCTTGCACAGCTGAACGCTCAGGTGCAGTTCTCCCCTGACACACTCATGTCAAAAGAGAAGCTCTCCCCTTGCACAGCTGTGCACACTCATGCAAGGAAAGCATGGGGGGCATGACCGGTTTTTGCAGGGGGATGTCACCGGACTTTGACAGGGGATGTCACAGGGTTTTGGGGGGAGTGTCACAGGGTTTTGAGGGGGGGTGTCACAGGGTTTTGGGGGCACAGGGAACCAGGCTCTCCCACTCACCTGGGGTGTGCAGCAGGGTGCAGGGCAGGAGCTCCAGGGGGGGGCTCACGGCCAGACACCCCCTCTGCGGAGAGAGACCTGTGTCCCCCCCCGAATGGGACCACAGAGGGGCTGGGGGGCACACGCACCCCCAAACCTACCCCTCCATCACCCTCTCAGCGGGGGGGGACAGACAGATAGGGGTCACAGAGTATCCCTTGGAGTTTGGGGTGATTGGAGAGGATGTGGCCCCCCCCTCTCATTCTAGGCAGGGTAGGGCTGAGGGGCCCCCCCTTGTCCACAGCCCCCTCCATGCCCCCCTCCATCCAGGCTATTCTCTCCGACTCCTGGAAATAGCCGGCGCACAGGAGGAGCTGGCTATAAATAGGGAATTGTGCTGGGGGGGGGTGTGTCACAGCGGATCCTGTGGGATGGGGTGTGCTGTGCCCCCCCCCAACACCCAGCTGCATCCCCAAACTGCCCCGGGGACAGGGCACAGTGGCTGTCCTACACGGGGGGGGCTGTGGGGGGCCTGGGATCCCACCACACTCCTCCCATCCTCATCCCACCCCCCTTTCTACATCCCCCTAATTGCTGGGGACATTAATCCGCATCAGCACTGCCAGGAATAAAATCTGGGATGTGCAGAGAACGATTAGCCCCGCTTTGAGAAAATGAAAGCAAACGACCCCCCCACCCTTCCCAGGACCCTGTGACTCCCCCCAACAAGACCCCCCCCAGGGAGACAGGGGTGCAGGGGGGTGCAGATGTCGACTCAGCACATTTCCCATGGGATTAGTGCCCCAAAGCAGTTCCACGGGGACAAATCAGAGCAGGGGATGACAACGGGCTGAGGTGTGGAGACCCCCCTTTTGGGAACGGTGACCCCCCCCCCCCCCCCCCCCCCCCCCCGCGCGTAACCCCCCCGGCAGCCGCCACGTTTATTTACCAGCATGTTAATCCCAAGCCAAGACTTTTAATAGCTGGGATATTTCTGGGACACCCCCCGCCCCCCCCATCGTCCCCCCCCACAGGGTGCTTTGGGGCTTGACGTCAGCCCGGATATTTCTGGTGTTGCCAGCGGGCAGGAGGCCGCGGGAATGGGCCCTCCTGGCTCCTGGACCCCCTTCCTGGCTCCTGGACTCCTTCTCTGGTGGCCAGACCCCCATTACAGCTCCTAGACCCCCTTCCTGGCTCCCCATGGAGCCCCATCCAGAGGTGGTGGCATATCTGGGGGATGGGGGGACCCTCAAGGAGATGGAGAGTAATAGTGGGGACCCCCAGGCATGACGGGAGACATGGAGGGGAGGCGGGGGGGGCTGCACCCAGGGATGGTACCGGCACCCACAGGACGCCCCCCCATCCCCAGTTTTGGGATGAGCATGGGAAAAGGGTGCAATTGGAGAGCCCTGGGGGGCACAGAGCCCCCCCAACGGGTGACTGGGGACCCCCAAGCTCAGGGGTGGGCTCTGCCACGTCTCTGTGATTGACCTAGCCCAGCTGAGACTTGCCCAACTCATCACAGCAGCTGGAGAGTCACAGCATCTCTGGGGGGGGCCCCAAACCCCCCTTCCAGAGGCAAATCCAAAGCCACAGCCAGGAGGGGACCCCAAGCAAAGCGCCTCGGGTATGGCAGAGGCAGGCAGGCCGTGTCCCCACGCCGCCGTGTCCCCGTGCCAGCCTCGTGCCAGGCACGGTCGGGCGACGCTCCAGCCCTGCGGCTGCTCCAAAAATACCAGCTGGTGGCAACCAGGGCGGTTTGGGGGCAGAGAGGATACACGTATCCCCATCCCCAACCGGTGGCGAGTCCATCCAGGGGACACGGGGGCTCCGCCATGGCCCTTGTGCTTCAGTTTCCCCTTCAGAGCCCACGAGGGTTGGCGGTGCCGCGTGTCCCCATCCGGGAAGGGGGAGAGGACACCGCCACCCCCCCTTCCCCCCCCCCCGTCCAGATGTCGCCGGAGTTCCCACCGGGATAATTACAGGGCGGCTCTGCCGGGGAGCCAGCAGGAGCCGGGACAGCATGGGCACAGCCCTCATGGTCACCACAGCTGTCCCCAGGCGTGGCACCGCAGGGACTCCGTGCAAAGAGCCACACGTAGGCCGTGCCACGGTGGTGACAGGAGCCGTGCCTCAGCTTCCCCTCGGGGTGGGAAATGCCAGGGGTCTGGGAAAACCAGAAAGGGGGATACCTGGCATGGCCCGGGATACCCGGGAGAGGGGGGTGGTTGGCAGAACCCCCATCGCCCCCCTTGCCCCAGTGTCTGGTACGGTAACACCCCCACGGCAGCGGGCACAGACGTGCCGTGGTGGGTGGGACACTGCCACAGCACCCTGTGGGACCCCAACACCCCGTGGGTGTCATGGCGAGGGGCTTTGGGGCCACAGTGCACACACGACAATGTGCAGGGGGGACGCGGCTGTGACCGGCGCCTGGCAGAGGGGAACACCCCCATCCCGGGGTCCCCAGCGCTCACCTGTGTCGCTCTGGGGGTCCATGGTGGGCAGCGGGTGCCAGGGGGGTGCGGAGAGGCACGTGTCCGGCGAGCCCGTCAGTGCCGCCCGGGGCACCGCGGCTGTGCCTGCGCCACCTGGGAGCCCTGCGGGACCAAGTGCCCTGTCAGCACCCCGGAACCCCCAAAATCCCCCCCAGGACCAAGTGAGAGGGGGGCTGGAGACAGCACTGAGCCCCCCTCCAGCCCCTGAACACCCGCCAGTGGCAGGATGTGGCCCCGCTCTGCTCTGCTGCCCCCAGGGGTGGGGGGACCTGTGGGCACCCCCAGAAGGGATCTGGGGGGGCAGAGGGGACTTGGGGGGGCAGAGGGGGCTTTGGGGGAGTTGGCAGCATTACACAAAGTTCTGCAGGAAAAGAAGGGGGAGCACAAAGGGGGAGCCCAGAGGGATGGCAGAGAAGTACCCTCCCCGGTACCACCCCAAAAGGACTCGGGTGGGACCCCCATAAGGACATGGATGGAGGGGACACACACACTCACTTGTGGCTGCCCCCCACACCACGAGGCCCCCGGTGCTGCCGCCCCCCCAAAACCGAGGCATTGCCCCGAGATGGGAGTCGGAGGGTGCCACGCATAGGGGCCACGCGGCGGGACGGACCCCACGGAGGGGAGGGAGGGACAGGACACGCAGGCTGCCGGCAGCCCCGAGCCCGGCGCGGTGCAGCGGGGCCCCCCCGGCCCCCCCGCTGCAAACGGGCCGCGCTGCGGAGCTGCCGCCGCGCTGGCGCACGGGCCCCCCGACATCGCAGGATCCCCCCATTACACAGATCACCTCACTCCATTGCACAGAGCAAAGCCCATCGCACCCGGACTCCCCAACCCACACCGACCTCTTCCCAAACCGCACCGGGGCTCCTCATTACAGGGCCCTGCCGAACCGCATCAGGACCCCCCAACAGCACCGGGACCCCCAACATTGCAGAGCCCTCCCGAACTGCACAGAGACCCCTCTAGACTGCAGGGCCCCACCGCTGCGTGGGCCCCCCCTCCTCCGAACCATGCCGGGACCCCGTAACGCACAGGACCCCCCCTGACTTGCACTGGGGTCCCCCATTGCAGACTCCGCACCAAACCGCAGCGGGATCCCATTGCAGCTCCCCGTCCACCCGCACCAAGAACCCCATTGCCGCCCCCCGGCCCCCCCCCTCCCCCCCCCCCCCCCATCCCGCACGGCGCAAAGCCTCATCACATCGAGCCCCCCCAACCACACAGCAGCCCCCATTACAACTCCCCCTCCCCACTGCACACACACACACACCGCCCTAAACCGCACCGGACCCCCGATGCGCCTCCCCATTGCAGCCTCCCCACCAATGCACGGGGTGCCCCCCCCGGACGCGCACAGGAGGGACCCCGGTACCGCACCCCCTCGCGCTCCGCCGCAGCCCCCCCCAGGCGCGGTGCCCCCCTTCCCGGGCCCCCCTCGTACCTGGGGTCCCCCCGGTGCCGCCCGGCGCGCGCCCCGCCGCGCCCCCCCCCTCCTCCTCCATCTTCGCCGCGCGGCCCCGCCCGCCCCGACAACAACATTCGGTGACGTCACTCGCGGGTCACGTGACGGTGCCCGTGCGCTAAAAATAGACCCCCGCGCGAAGGGGGGGGGGGAACCCTCCCCTTAGGGACGCGGGGCTCAAAGTGGGGA